AGTATAACGACCACACCCATGCAAAACCACTGACAGCATTTACATTTCTATAAAGCACTATATTATATACTAGTTTAAAGCGCTATACCTACTAATTAATTTTATGACGACCGCATGGCCATGGTCATAGTCTAATGCAAATTTTGAAATATGAGTTACAAGCCATATCATTGAAGTAACAAAAGACACATGCTCGGTCTGATTGGGCATAGTATGTTATTTTCATATATGAATAATTTATGAGTATACCTACTTGTTGTTAAACTTTTTCTTTCATGGTAGCATTAAAAGACTTTAATAAGATTAAGGACTTTTTATCTTGGTCTTACTAAATTAAAATTCTACAAATTAGTTAAGGAACTCAGCCTTACGGTGAGTCTGAATTTTTTCTAATCGTGTTAGTTAATATTAGCAAATAGAAGAAAACGTTATTTAAACGTCGATCATATTTTCGAGCTTGATGTCTTTAAATAGTTCATCTCTGACTCAAGGCATTCTCATGGAAACGTAAACAAACCCGAAATTCATCGTGATGTAAAAACCTGAAAAACATTACTCAGTACTGAAATTAAAAACACATTTATCAATAGCTGTTTCGCTCAACTATTATTTAAATTGCAATCTTCCTCTTTAAATTAAAAACTGCATTTATGTAAACAGAAAGTTGAAATATATTTCAAGTTTTATATTCCGTAAAGCTTAAGATTAAACTTAAGGTCTTAAAAACGTCTATTCTGTAACATAATTTGTTTTTTTATTATTATTATTATTTAAAAACATATTACGCCGACCCCAAATAAATAGGAAGAAGCAGTTGATGACATAATTTATTTCTTTGATTTCTCCATTACAAACAAATAAACATATTACAAAACAGATGTTTCCTCTTTAATACATTTGACTAATCTAAGCAATTAAACATATTCGTCATGCGAATATATCTTCTCCATCTGAGTAACCTACAATTATTTCGAATTTACTCCGAGCTACCATTATATTACGAGTACCAGTATAATATTACGTTATCTGTGACAGCCAAGTTTGTAGTAATAGAAATAACAGGACATGTTTACTGTATCATTTATTGTGTACGACAGCTCATCTCGGGATAATACATTTATATATAAGCACATTAATATTTATTTACTATCATTAATTCTACAATAATTATTCATGAGAAATGCAAAAGTATTTTTATCTGTCGGTCTGTTTTTTACCTTTCTGATTAAATGGATGAGTGGATGTAAAATTTGGCATCTCAATTTTAACGTAACCAAAAGTAAGACTACTTACTACTTACTAAACTAATTCGCGAGTAACTTGGTGATATGAAATAAAAAGTGCAGCATTGTCTATTATAATACTGACCTATGTTTATTTATAGAAACTAAATACAGGTAATTACTAACAGAAACAGTAAATATTCTACAAGTATATTTCATATAAAACCTTGATCATTCAATTGACGTAATGAGTTAAAGGTGTACTTGTACCATCGATTTGAAAATTGATTGATGGATTAACCTACAGGCTCGTATAAATTTATATTTTGAGTTATTTATGTCGAATCGTATAAGAAACGCGAAAACCGATATTATAATTTTATAAATGCCACTGTGTCTATCTATTGATGAAAATTTGCCATGTATATAAATTTGGCCTATAAGAAGGCATATGTCATCTTTTGTCGTGAATTAAACAAAATGGTGATGAAATAGGGAATTAAAGTTACCCATCTCGGAAATAAGGGATCATATATATCATATATCATAATTTTACTGTTAGTTGATTCATCGTTCAATCAAACGTTTGCGTCATATTTCCCCAGTTTCTGTAACATTTATCAAATATTTTTGTACGTTCCTGTTGGTCGTAGGTGCAACAAGTAACATATTATAAACATGTTATATAGTCTTTCTCAATATTCTTCAATGGGTTATAAACTACAAAAACAATTTTCAAAATGAGATCTGTAGTACCGAATAAATTCGGTACATTTTGTGCACAAAATGTAATATTAATATATTTCTGTATCTGCACTTTTTACGAATTATATTAAACATACGGAACATGCTCGGCTAGTTGCATATAGATATATACATATATGGTTGTGACATCTAAATGTTCTAAAATCTAGGCATAGCTGCCTATATTAATACCAAGAATTCTAAGTAACTATTGTTTTGTCACAACAAATCTAGTCAAAATACTATGCATGAATAAATCAATGTTATGAATTAGTATTTATTTATTTATTTATTTAAACTTTAATGCACACATACAATTTATAAATGTACATATGGCGAACCTAAGGGCGTTCTCTACCAGTCAACCATAAGGAATTAGTGTATGTGAGATTAACGTTAGGAACCTAGATATAGTTAAAATCCTTATTACTATCATAAACACAAAAGTGGTTTTGTTTCTTACTAGATTATGGATAAAATCCAGTATAATATATAATATCAAAGTGCTTGCGTTAGCTTTTTCTTTATTACGTTATGGCGCCTTAATGGCTTGACTAATCGTAATTAAGTTGGGAATATATGTAGTAAAGTAACTGTTTGAGATGAGAATAGAGGAAAATATTTAGGTTTGTTTTACTTTTAAATGGTTAGTCACAACCAAATCACCAGACGAAGTCACGAAAACTGCTAGTGAATAACAACTCCCAAAAGGACTATCAATCAGTCGCCATTGTCTTGTGATTTTTCGTTTTCCACGACTGCTTTCGATTATACCTACGCACTGTGATAAACGTATTCTATTATCGTAAAAGAGGGATCAATTTCTTCTCACATATCACAATTTGGTACACATTTCTCCCATTCCTATGACAATTTAGGATCAAAACGAAACTATCTCTATTCGAATTTACTATTTATTGGATCTCTTCATGTTCATGTTATACTTATCAAGTTTTTTTTGTATTGTTTGATTCTACTTAAAGATATTAACTATTGATTGATATGTTATATTAAATACAAGTTGTGCCCGCGGTTTCACCCGATTAAAATTTATAGCCCATATATGATTCTGAAGTCTAAGCTATATTACTGTAAAATTACATCAAAATCCGTTTAGTAGTTTTTGCGTGCTTTTATATTATTAAAATAAGATTACTGATTAAATAGTAACATATCCTTATCTGCTTGTTATATAGATAAGGATATGTTAATTAAAACAAGCTTGTGCTAACCCGTAAAAATATATGACTGTGAAATTCTGAAGTGCTGTACCGAATTTTTCCATACACTAAGTACTTTACAACTAATCAATACACATACACATTTTACCATATCCAACAAAGCCAAACACCTGATAACTTTGAACAATTTCTATTTATCGCTTCATTGCAAGTTAATGAACTTATTATTAAATTACAAGTGTTTATTGTGTTCAAAGTATAACGAAATCAAGAATAACAAAGTGAATGTGATTATAGCCAGTGATAAAGCAAAGTCCCATCCGAGATCTGACGGGGAATTAATTACAATCGCGTGCAAGGGTAACGAGATACCATGTCGTGTTTACTATAACAGATAGGCTCATTGGACGGACGGTATCTGCGTGCCACATGAGCGATGGCTTAGAACGATTATCTATGACTTTGATCCACAAAAACTGTCTTCAATTGTGACAAATCGAACCAACTGTTAATTAAATACTTTTGACTAAAACAAAATTAAATTCGCTTCAGGATTAACGAAGATATTTCTTAATGAACACATTAAAAAACAATGTAAATTGAAAATCTATTTGACGTGGGTTGAACCTTAATTTTTAAACGAGTACAATATATAAATATAGATATATTTTAATCGATACTTTTTATGAACCCTAAAAACCAGATAATTATATCTCCAGTGACCAATTACTAGTTCTATGAAATGATAAAAATACACTATTTTTTTTTTATATATTTTGTTTCTTTTCTGTATTTTACGCCCCGCAGTAAAAATCATCTGTTGTTAAATTGTTAATAATGCTTTAAAATTTTTCAAGTAGGTACTAACGAATAAACATCCAAATAACCTCAACAATACAAAGATACAAAAACATTATATTCTACACCCATTACGTCTTCTTCATCTGCACGCTGTGCTATTCTATGTAAGATTTACGCTAAGGGCTTTATTTATTTTGTACTATGTTACTAGCGATAACCAGTTAAAGATTGTTATACATTCATGTATACTAATTAGATAACATGTGTACTATGTAGAACCTTTAAACTATGTAGCTTAATTCTGCTGCTATTATCATATGTGAAAGCAGGTACTGTTAACTATTCATTATAGATATTATTTAATGTAGAAAACTTTACCAATAATAGCAAGAGTTCCTTGATTTTTATTTGTAATGTTCCATTGTTAGTAAGTACGCTATTATATCCGCTATATGCTTTGTCTCAAGGTAAGCAATTAATCGATCGCTCAATTTCGATGACATCGCATCAACATTATTAAGCTTTCAAAACGATAAAATCTATTAATTACCTTATGATGTGCTTCATTTAGCAGCGACACGCATGTTAAAATATTGGTATAGGCTCGTTAGCGATTGGAGATTTATTAGTGATCAATAATAAAGAAGGTAATGTATCTAACATCTATATGTATTCGAGAATAACGTACGTACGAGTTAAAGACAGCAATATTATACATATAATGAAAGTGTAAACGAACAACATATAATGTTTGTATATTAACAACTGTTACGAAAAGAAACATATATAATGTTGCACTTGTGTTACCAAGATACACATGTCAGACAATACTTTTTAGAATTATTATTTGCTTAATTCTGTGCTTTTCTGCACCTCATCTCAAAAACAGCTTAACCGATGATTGACTGATGTATTGTAGTTCCCCGTATTATTTATTTCCAATCAGTTTACAAACATAAAAGTTTCAATCTATTGTTATGAAACAACAGGACTACTGTAACGAAATGATTCGAAGATTGAAAAGATAAAGATTCTAAAAAATAAAACTCACCAAATGCATAATAACACACGCCAAATAGATGCGGTGCAATAGCGGTAAGAAGACCAAAAAGAGCTTGGGGCAACTCCGTGGCAAGGAAGAGACCTAACAGCGCTACCAGCATGCGCGTAGTACGATCCGTGCGGCCCCCGCCTCCTCGTCTCCCGCCGCCGTCCTCATTGAGACGCACTTTCTCGCCCTAAACATATTACATTACACAAAAAAATATTGAAAATAAGTAATGACCTCTACACAATAGATGTCATTGATAAAAGAAAGTGAAGAGCAAAGAAAACATGTTGTTAATGCATTATTGGAAATTATGTCATAATGGTATGATGAAAACATATCATTATAATATATCATCATACCATTCTTCTTTCCAATCAATCCGTACTAAAATTATAAATACCAAAGTATGTCTCTCTGTCGTTTGTTACCTTTACAGAAATATAGAATTCTTAATGAAATTAGACTTGAAGATAGATTGTATCACAGAGACGGACATAGACTATCTTTTATCTAAAAAAATTATATGGAAGAAAAAAATTATATTAGATGTACGTAAAATACATAGTAGGCAGTACCTCGCTCGTTGTGATCGCTGATTTCTTCAACAACTTTTGTCTTCTTCGATCGCTTGATTTCATTTTTAAAATTAGTAACACACTCAATATTGACAGTACTACACATGGTATAAGTTTTATAAATACACTGTAAATCCAAAAAATGGCAGTAAGTAAATCTGTATTATCCGTCATTTGTAGTGCGTATGCCGGCGGGCGGCTTCCAGAAGAATTTACACTGTCCGTATCATTCCACGTGGTATTTTCACTTGCATTTTTTGACACAATCGTTTCCCGAATATTCATAGCGAAATATATAGGAAGACACAATATTGGACAAACGGCGTATGCCACAGTAATAGCTATATTAGTGTTTCTTTTATTACACAACGTCCTATTCTTTTGTGGAAATTTTATTGCGATGTATCTCCAAACCGCGAGCGTTATAGTCAGCCAAATAGAAATCGTGTGGAAAGTCTGACTGAAAATGGAATGAAAATAAACGAATACAGCCCAGCCATATGAGTTGCGGTTATATTCTGAACCTATTTTAGTGTATATATGCAGTGCAAAAGGTATATAGTCGAGCATGACGAGTAAATCAGCGACGGCGAGGCCGGTTAGGATGGAGTTTGTGGACGAGGCCATCTCCTTACGACTGAGTACGGCAATATTGACGGAATTGGCAGCAGAACCGAGCAGGCAAATTATTAGCGCGATGTATCCGTGCACTTGTACATAAACAGCTTGGAAGATCTGTCCCCCCGGCACACAGTACGCCTCACTGATGCCGTTACCATCGTTCTCGGTGCTTGACATCTTTGTAAACAGCTTTAATACTTCTGCTTCAAGAGCAATTCGGCCTTGTGTTCTGATGCATAATCTGAAAAAGAAAACTCAAAATATAACATATGCTTTCAGAATGTAAACGTACTATTATAGTAGTATATTTAAATTATGAGACTCAAGAGCACAAAGTAAAAGTTACACAGAAAAAATCAACATAATTTATCATATTTGAAATGAAGGATTAGTGAAAGTATTTATACGAGTATGAACGAGTATGAATTGCCTTAATCCGGATTAATGATTTTTTATTTCGTTTTCACTACACATACAATTATAATAGGTATAGGAAAATAAAAACAAATAGACTTATACCGAGGAATCGGATCTTTGCACTGACAGATGCAGACACTTTGGCATTCTCCCCCGTAACGGGTGAATGTCTGAAAGCTCCCCAAGGACGCCCACAAGTACAAACTATGCTTTTAAAGGCCCCATTCTGAGTTAACTTCGTAACTGCCTATACTTATTTCTACAGATAAACGGATACCATAACTAGGGCAAATTTTCTTGACGGTTATTATTATCGTTTTCTATTACCCAGATTGCACGTATCAATTGCTTATACTTATTACGAAGAAAACAACTGGATAAAAAATAAATTGTATAAATTCGGCTTACAAAAGGCATCCTCAGTTTATAATAGATCGACATTTTATAAAATTCCTCATAAATCAGTTGTCCATTTCATAAAATAGAACTGAATTGAAGGCCATCAAAAATACCGCTCTTTTCTCAACATTTATATAACCTATATTATAATGATGACAATATTCAATATCAAGGATAGAGTTGATTTAGTTTATTTTTCTATTTTATTGACAAAATATTTTTGGTATATTTATTATTGTATCTCTACCAGTAATGTAAAATTCAATATTTATTTATTTGTATGAACAAAAATAGATAATTAATCTACATTTGTTTTGTAGATTTTGTTACTTTTACGTGAGTGTAAGTGATAAACAAGCTAATTCATTTATTTTTTTATGTATAATATGAATTGAAAAATATGAACTGAAAAAATCACCTGATACGAAAAAACCTTTTCTCGATTAAAAAACCAAATATGCTTTTGTAGTATTTTATATATCTTAATACACCTATTTATAAACTATCATTATGTACCATATAGGTGTAGTTTCATTGTTTACAAGGTCGACGTCTGGATGGACGAGGGCTTGAAGTTTAATTAGTTCTTAATTCACCCTTGTTGGTAAAATGTGGGCGTAATCCGTCGAGATCCGGCTTTCACGCAAAACAAATTGTTTGCTAATTAATATGACTGCACGATTGATAATATCATTAACATAAAGGACTAAAGAATTGCAAATGGTTTTCCTTAAATTAATTGGATCTGGGCATATTCCAATGGAACTATTGTATTGAAATGTATTTTGTTTAGAGATTAAGAATATATAAGATGTAATTGTAGTTCCGTCGCCCTGTCACGTCGCCAAACGGCTTGATTTATACCTTTATTTCAAACGATACATTATTTTCCCCTACACATAATATATACTTATTAATTTCCAATCATTCCCTAGTTTCTATTTATTGACCACAACGATGTAGTAGGTACAAAAATGAAATGGGTATATTGGTTTATTCATTTAGGAGGGTAAAAGAAAAAATACGGTAGAGATATTTTGAGATAGATAGAAGTAATCGGCAGAAACCGCCCTAAGCGGATGTACGTCGACCTAGGTGAATGTACGGCGAAATAAGTGATAAATTCAACAACCGACGAAATTATATGAATATAAAAAAGGCAAAGACTTTGAATCAAAACATGCTTAACAAATAATGTTAATATAATGATTTTATACAGGTACGTGAATATAATCAATATTTATCCTGGATATAACTACGATTCTAGTGCTAAAGTCATTAAATGAAAATTTATATAATACCTCGTATATAGGTAAGTACATATATTAACTACTGCTACGAACGCATAAAGGTCTTAAAAAAGCGAATTTTAGTAGATCGTTCTGTTAGGATATTTGTTCGATCAATCTCACTTGAAAGAATTTTCCATCCGAGTAGGTAGTTAGCTCATCACGTTACCCGACGCATAAATTGGATTACTTTTTTTACAGTAGTCCTTCACCCTACCTGAAAATAAGCTAGAATGACATTAAAAACGTAGATAAAACAGTGCGAGGCCTTTTAGAAACGCTCTGGCAAATGTGATATAAACTGAATATAACTATGACCAACAAAAAACTCGACTTTAAACATCATTCGTAAATGTTATAAAAATGACATAGGTATCCTTTCAATCAATGTTCTCTTTTATTTTTATGTTTATGTTGTAACAATTTGAATAGACCGAGTATATTTTTTTATTTTTTTATACATTTATAGTATATTTATATCGTCGATGGCTTTTTTATACATTATTATGTCCAATTGAAATTAAATATAATAATAAAATTAGTTTTATGACTATATATATGAATAATTTAGAATGAATATTATAATCACAATGAATAATAATAATAATAAATGCAAGAAATAATGAACAGAACATTTGATCATTCTGATATCGAATAATAAAGTGATAATATAAATGATCTCCTAAAACGGCTATTCTACCTCTCCAATCTATGTAACTTTACATTGCTACTTCTGACAGACAATTGAATCTTAAATTAAAACAACACATAGCGAATTCTCACGCTAAGAACAAACAACAATATTCTCTAGCTTATTGTGTTTCCAGAACCAGCATTGAATTACTATTTAATAAGCTTTGAAAGTCGTTACTTTTGGAGACTCATTGCGGCTTTATGAAATATGCCTGCTGTCATAAAATAAGTCATTGCAACTGAGATATCAAGAATTTTATAAGTACATCGTAACATAAGATTGTTTATGAAAATATTGTAGGTTATTACAATGCTTACAGTAATGACCTAAGAATATCAAACATACTATAGAATAACAAAATATATGAAAATGAGACAGTCATAATGATAGGTCTCCGATTTTTGTTGCTTCTTTCTGAAACAAACCCTAAATCTGACATGTGTATACGAAAATATAATATATATATATATATAAATTCGGTTCCAAAAGGGCGTACCAAATTGTAAGATATTAATTAAATGTAGTAATTACATTTGTATTATAAAATTGATTTAAAGAGGATCATTTATAGCGGCTGTCACATAGGATGGCATGATGTAACTAAGAGCAATAATATAATTATAATCAATTTTGTACCTTTTTACTTTTATTAGTACCATATATGAAAAAAATCTTTTATGTTATTAATACTGTACCGTTACAGTGAAAAAGTACTAACTTATTTACTCATATTGCTTGTAACATACAGTGAATGACGGTCATTAGGTTTAGCAGAATTGTCTTGATATAATGTAGATACATTGCTTGAAAAAGTGATCCACTTTGTACCAACGTCTTATTTACTAATGTTTTACACGCAACCTGTAAAGTCACGTCTTTGAAAAATTGTAATGTATTTATTACTAACTGCGAAACAGCTACTTCTCATTGTTGCCGCATGATTTCGTATAAATATTATGCCGAACGAATTGTTAGAAACAACCATTTATGTTGAGTTTGAGTAAAACGTATAATGTTTGTTGAGAAATTGAACCTATTATTCATAAGGTTTAATAACTTCATGTCAAAAATATGACTACATTCCACAGATTACTTTAGAAACATAATAATTGTTTCATTCGAATGACATAATTCGCACATTTCTGTAATTGGGTATAAATAAAACATAAGTATGAAACAAGTTATTACTTGGAGAATTATACATTATAATAATTCACCAACACGACATGAATAGACATGTATGATGTACACCTATGTATTTTTCCTATAACAAACATGAATTGTCATAAAGAAAAATCTTCAGTCAATGCCATTACCAACTTAAATTGTCTATTGGAGATTCGCATTAAACTGTAATTGATAGAATATAATTTCTTTTGATAATGAATTAATTAACGCCATTCAATCTACTTACTTTAACTTTTCTATATATAACTATGTTTCTATGAAATGGAGCAAAGTTTGGAAGTAAATTAATTAAATTCGACAATGCCTACACTGGCAGGCATTTGATACGCAGCTTATAATAAAATACGTTGAATTTGCTAATAAATCGATTAATTTGTACTTGTGGAGTACAAATTAATCGATTTATTAGCAAATAGATAGACTACTACTTTGACAGTGTACTGACATTGTAATCAGCTGATTAAACACACTATTATCATTAAACAACTCATAGTCATATTAATATGATCTAGTTCTAGGTCTAGGGCTAGTCTACCTCGGGTAGACTTTGTAAAACGTTGTCAGATACCTTCGTCTACCTATTTAAGCCGACTTGCATTGTAAGCGGTGATACGGGAATATTGTGAGATTAGACATAGAATTACAAAATTAGCGGCATAGCATCATAAGAAATAGATGAAATCTTCGAATGGTAATGTTGGCCTTATATATTCGACGATTTTCGCTTACCATCAGGTGGAAACCAGCATGTTTTCATTAGCAGCAATCAAACAAGAAATATTGATGGTATTTCAACATATGGTCGTGTATAATAGCAGTTCAATAGTTATGAATGCCTGTAACTAAAGAATAGACTGCGAGTATCAGTGTGTATAAGTGTTTGTAAGAGGCAACCACTGGCATTGTAGGTGACTACTATGGAAGTGGACGCCTCTTACAACATCCTGAAAATGAAAAGCATCCATAGCATAACACATTGTATTTTTACTACGTTACTACTCCTAAATCCTACTTGTATTATACACTCGACAGTTTGTGAGGGTTGGGCCAATGGATGTTTATTACTCTTTCATAAAAAAACTATTAAATCGATTCAAATGAAATTTCGTACACATGTAGATCATATCGTAAATGTAAGAAAGTTTTTATGTGAAATCATGCGAGTAACGTCAGAGAGTCTTGTATAGAGA